CTTGTTAAAAATGTCGTAACACTTGAAATAGTAGGAGCACATTGTCTGCAAAATACAGGGGGAAAAAAAACAACTTGTGGAGATGCACGTTTCTCTCGTAATTTCTATCAGGATGAAGATTCTTTAAAATTCAAGATGTTCCAATCTAAATTCTAAAAACAACCATCTATTGCTTCTCTTCACCCATATTCATGCATTTAAAATGTAATCAGAAGGAAATACAAACTAAAAAACTAATCTTTACTGTTTCTCTTATAAAATAACTCTTTAGCAATACCAACACTTTCATATGGACTAGACACATAGATGAGCACAAAGTCAAAATATTCAAATTCGAATCAGATAAAATTCTGAATTGTAATTCACCATTTGCCTTAGTTTGGCCATGACAAAGGAAGCAGCAAGCACTTCTGAAATTTCAAATTTCTACTAGACTATACAAAACATCCCAAAAGTCATTTTCCTACTAAATGCATTAAGAAAACCAAGTTATTTTAATAATTAATCTAATACAAGTACTTGAAAAATTTCACTTTGATGGTTGAAGGGCTACAGCCATAATCAACTGCACCTGAAATAGGAAGGGGCAGACAACAAAAATCAAGTATCTTCCTGTCCCTCCATAGTAACAGGCATTTAGAAAATCACATGAACATTTCTTGCATCCACCTTGCACTTCTTACCCCTGGTTTTCCACCTACCACATTCTTTTCACAGTATGACCAATACAAAATGAACAGGGGAAACAAAAAAACTCAGCTTCTCAAATGGCACTTATGCAACAAAAAGATTCATGTTCACAAAAGCCTGCCAAACTCCATCCTGAGCCAGCTACATTCAGTTTGCTCCATTGATTCCCATCTTCCAAAGTTCTTCCAGCAGCCTCCTTCCTTCAGGGATCCCAACCAATACCTTATATTTCTCACCCATCAGTTCCACCAACTTGCAAGACATTAACACAACTTCGGCTAAAAAAAAATCTGGTACAGAATTCAAAAAATTTAAACAACAGAGAAAAGGATGGAAGGTAAAAGAAACTGCACAAAAATTTTGCTTTCAAAATTAACTCATTTTAATACATCAGCAAGCACTGATGGACAGGTTGCAACATTATTTGATGAACACAAAATTCTTACAATAACAACAATCCAAATTGAAACTGGAGTATACATTTAGTACTCCTCTGCCCCCTCTGCTTCTCCTTCAACAGAATCCATGCCTACTTCCTCATAATCCTTCTCCAGGGCCGCAAGATCCTCGCGAGCTTCTGAGAACTCGCCTTCTTCCATACCCTCACCCACGTACCAGTGAACAAAGGCACGCTTAGCATACATGAGGTCAAACTTGTGGTCCAGACGAGCCCAGGCCTCAGCAATGGCGGTCGTGTTGGACAACATGCACACGGCACGCTGTACCTTTGCCAGGTCCCCTCCTGGAACCACAGTTGGTGGTTGGTAGTTGATGCCAACCTTGAAGCCAGTTGGACACCAGTCCACGAACTGGATTGTGCGCTTGGTCTTGATGGTCGCTATGGCAGCGTTGACGTCCTTGGGAACAACGTCCCCTCTGTACAGCATGCAGCAAGCCATGTACTTTCCATGTCTTGGGTCACATTTTACCATCTGGTTGGCAGGCTCAAAGCAAGCGTTTGTAATTTCAGCTACAGAAAGTTGCTCATGGTATGCCTTCTCAGCTGAGATGACGGGGGCATAGGTAACCAGAGGGAAGTGGATGCGGGGGTAGGGCACCAAGTTAGTCTGGAATTCAGTCAGGTCAACATTCAGAGCGCCATCGAACCGGAGAGAAGCGGTAATCGAGGATACAATCTGGCCAATCAACCTGTTCAGGTTGGTGTAGGTGGGGCGTTCAATGTCCAGGTTACGTCGGCAGATGTCATAAATGGCTTCATTGTCAACCATGAAAGCACAGTCAGAATGTTCAAGCGTGGTATGGGTGGTGAGGATGGAGTTGTAGGGCTCGACAACAGCAGTTGAAATCTGAGGGGCGGGGTAGATTGCAAATTCGAGCTTACTCTTCTTTCCATAGTCAACAGACAGCCTTTCCATAAGCAGAGACGTAAAGCCGGAACCAGTGCCCCCACCAAATGAATGGAATATTAGGAAACCCTGAAGACCAGTGCATTGGTCAGCCAGCTTTCTGATGCGGTCCAGAACGACGTCCACAATCTCCTTGCCTATGGTGTAGTGACCTCGGGCATAGTTGTTGGCAGCATCTTCCTTTCCAGTAATCAGCTGCTCAGGGTGGAATAGCTGTCGGTATGTACCAGTGCGAACTTCGTCTGTGGACACACCAGTCAACATCAACATTATACTTTGCTACATTCTCAACAAACATTTCCCCAATACAATTAAACAGGGTGCTCCTTTGCTTCACTTATAAGATTTCAAATGTACATACCTACTACTGTGGGCTCCAGGTCCACAAAAACTGCCCTTGGTACATGCTTTCCTGCGCCAGTTTCACTGAAGAATGTGTTGAAGCTGTCATCACCACCTCCTAAAGTCTTGTCAGATGGCATTTGACCATCAGGCTGAATACCATGTTCCAGGCAGTACAATTCCCAGCATGCATTTCCGATCTGCACACCAGCTTGCCCAACATGAATTGAAATACACTCACGCTGAAACACAACACTACTTCAGACAAGATAATGAAAAATCCTAACCTTTCATACGCTATTATATGAAACATGAAATTACAGTAGCTTATGAATTTCCTAAATTTTTTAGAGCCACAATAAAAACCCACACATATGGAAGCAGTGATTCTTCAGACATGCCACATCAATGCATGTACAAATATATACCACCGATGCATCACTGGTCACACAAATCCCTTCTCAGCAACATTGGAAACTCATGTAATACAAAACCTCGCTGATCGTTCCAAGTTTATAAGAAATTAATTCCAGACTCAACTTTCTCTTACAAGGAAATTCCATCATTTATTCAAGCCTTAACAAAAAAAATTTGAATACTCAGTAGCAATAGTTCCTGCATTGCCGACATGCAGCAACTGCCACGTGAAAGCAAAATTAATTAAATTTAGGTTATATGATAAACGTATCACACAAAATTAAAAATTCATATTACTTTCGCATTAATTCGATTCCAGAACTTCCATTTAATTAATCACAAGTAATAACGTATTTTGCAGAGGTAGCATATTCCATTCGTGAAAAATATTGTAATCAAACAACACAGGGAAAATTACTTCCTTAACATATCTGAAATGAGCGAAATATAGTGCTCACCATTCTAGTAGATAATTTGATGACTTAACAAAAAAACAGTCTTAATTATTCGATGTTGTTTACGAGAACCAAGCAATGACGCTTCTCCAAACATACAATGAGACCGGTCGAAGCTGTCCTTTGCATATATATATATATATATATATAGAACTGTGGCATCATAGAATGCACACATCTCATTGGTTCTCCGATGGGTATGTGATGTCATACGGGCGCGGTGCTCCACGACACGCCACCTTATTGGCGAATTTAAACAGGAATAATATGTACACCAATTTAATCTATAAACGATTAAAGTATAGTATTTATAGAGCCATAATCTATTATGAAACAATTCATTTTAAAAAGAAATATCAAGCAAAATATTTGTTTATTTTAAACGGCTGTACATAAAATACTGTATTTGGGGTGGGGTAAGATGCTGGAATGGCCCGCCGCGGTTTAAGGAACGGAGGGGGAAATGAAACTTGTCATCATATTGTGGAGTTCATGCCGTAATCTCTACATGCTATAGTAGAAATGTAAATGTGCACTTCATTTAACGCAGATTAAACAGGAGTAACATGCATTTACACTATACATATTACTTTTTATACTCTGTATGTTAAACAATAAACCATTTATTGATTATGCCTTTCAAAGTTGTGACCACGGTACGCCGTTAGTCACAAATGACATATTTTGTTGTTTGAACCAATGATACAATGCATGCTTTCATTTTGTCCACTGCATGTTTCGGTCTAGTGAGTACCATCTTCAGGTGCGTGGGCAGATTTTTGTGTTGTTTGGTTGAATCATCACACAATAGGCTGCCTCTGATCAAAAATGTTGCTGTTTGCATAATTTAATGGTGCCATTTTGAACCAAAAATTTTCCCAAACGACGTTTAATAGGCTTCCCCAGCATGTCAGAATTTGAGCCATCTGTTGCGAACAGCCTGCATAAATGCCACTGTAATTGAAATTATGCATGCAATAATTTGAAATTACAGGAAAAATGAAATGTAACTAAAAAGCATAAGCCATTTCCATAAAAAAATATAGAATAATTTCGTGGTTCTCTTACTGCTGTCGTGTTAGCTTTTAAATTATCTTCTTTTGGAGACGTTTTATAATTATTTTGGTATCGTAAAAATGCTGAGTAGGACAGTCGTTCTTCAGTTAAAATTTGCTGTGACTCTATTCATGTTCATGAACTCTGTTCTGACATGGTCGATTTCATCTCTGCATCATTTTCGATGTTTCTAACGGCGAAAACCTCTCAATTGAACCATTCATAATCACCCACCAATTCGAACTTAGTTTCAGGTAATTATAATGTATATTAATAAATTTCTGTTCATAAAAAAGGATGAGTGTACTTAATTTGTTATAGTTCCTAGACCTCCAAATATTACATCTGTAGACATCAGACAAAAGTATAACTAAGTCAAAACATCTGGTGAGCAAAACAGACACAAGTATCATTCCTGCCAGACACCTTTCTGAAATTAGTGATACTCTCCTTTCCTAAAATATTTTGTATTCATTTGCTATAATTTTGGAACAAATCTCAACAGTAGTATGCAAAAGAACAGTGAAAGTATTGAGATGACAGAAAACAATTGTAGCCCGTTTTGAAGAAAAGATTTTCCTACTAATGTGAGGTATGTTCCAAGGCCCATGCACAGCAAAAGAAGCCAAGTACCTGTGTTGCTTCTAATAGTTTCTACAGTCATCCATAGATAGCACTAGAGGTATGTCCGCTAAGCTTGGAAGTTACACAGCTATGTTCCATCTGCATTTGTCTTCGACTTCAGCAAACTGTGTTTATTCGGTGTTATTGTTAGTGCAGCATACAATGTTTGAAATGGAATCCAAGCCCAAAAGGCTCATTTAGGAAACAAGAACATGAAGCTAGGATCAGTGGAAAGCCATTTTTAACGGGAAAGAAGAAACAGATGTCTGGGAGAGATCCCATGTTTTCACAGATTAGTTTAAGATTATGAAACTTATAACGTAAGTTTGGCTAAAACATTATCAATAAAACTAGCAGGTAATATAACATAAGTAGCATGAATGTACTTATATCGTTTCTATTTTTTTAAGAGAAATGCCGATGTCACTATCAATGCAAAGAATTAGAAGACGACTACAAGATCAGATAGTTTACAGATTTCTACAAGCAGGATAAAAATACACAGGATACCTATCTACTTATCTCTCCAAGAACTGAGCAAAGCAATACATTCTTTTAATGTTCATAGCAGCTGTCTGAATGATTTCACTTCTGGCAATTAAAAGAATAGAAATTCATGAAATAATATTATGGATTTAAAGAGAGCGATTTTAAATGGGCAAATTCATTTTTCCTTCTTCTGGATCAGCCAAACAATGAGGGGTTTATGTTTTAAATAATGTACTCATCTTTGACCTTTCTAGCACCGATGCCCTTAAATCTTCTGAATGTATAATATGTTTTACTAATTTGTCTTTAGCTATGTCTCTGTTCTGCAATCCACTTAGTTTCTAATGTTATGCTCTCAGTCATTACTATGTACTTTTCAGACTGAACTAACACAGGAAACATTTAAAAGCTGAGAGCTATGATTGACAGTAATTGTAACAGTTCCTTGCAAAAGTTCTATTATTGAATTTTTAACATTGACAACAATACAAATTATTATATGGAGACTTTATTATTAAAGTTTCAGTTTAACTGCCACTTATGCTACATTCTTGACTGATAATAAATATTTAAAACATACAAAGACTAAGCTGTGGAGAACAATGTTACAAGAAAAGCTATCCCACTTAGGCATAATGTGAAAGTCGTTTGAAGATATCTATGACTTTTATCCAAAAAATCATGAAAAAACTTTAATATTTAAATTACTCTGTTATGCAGGTCTATTTCAGCCTTTTCCAGTCATTGTTGTCATTAAGAAGCAACCTTTCACAATGTAAGTTTTTCGGGTTCTTGTTTCTTTCGTTGACAGAAACTGACGTTTAAGGGTCCCTGATTGCCCTGATGTTGGATGCAGCAAGGACCTCTGAAACGTCGGTAAACTTATACCAGACTACAGGGCACATCAACCCAGAAGACATCAATTATTAACATAAACCCTTCATTCCGTATTAAGCAGATGTCATTTTAATAACCACTGAAATATACTTTAACAGACAATTTCATCATTCCAACCAAGTATTCGGTGACTATAGGACAACGCACTTATTCAAGAGACAGAACCGTCCAAATCGCCCTCCTGAATATCTCTTACCGCGTTCCTGGTTATTTGTTTCAAAGCACAGACAGTATGTTCAGAAACTCCTAGTTTTCTGTGACCGGAACGGGATATAAAAGTATATTTAATTCACAGTTAAAAAAGTAAGCAACTGTTTGTGTTTATTCAAATCGGAAATATATGAATATGAATTAAGATAAACAAACTATTAACTATTTTTATAGTGTTAATAGTTTGTTTGTTTGCTTATTATATATTCTAATACACTACACGATATGCAAAGTTGTAACGGAAATAGATGGCGCAAATGTTCTCTTGTAATTTAATTTTTTTCTGTCATGTGAGGCCAGCCATCGTTGATCCTTGAGGTCGTTTGGTGTGTTTTTTCTGGTGTAGTTCTAATTTAAAAATTTAAGATGGGCTATGATGGAAGTTCAATCTCTCAGCGAGCTGAGCTTTTAAGAAGTGAGTATATTTGATTTAAGATATGAAGCTTTAATGGCAACTAAGTATAATGAATTTTTCATGGGTCTCCAGCCGTGAATGGTGGTTTAATGATAACGATTTCTTTGTATATGTCGCCAGAAAGAATGTCAGTTTCCGTCTACATGATGCTATGAAACTATCTGAGGAAAAGTTTAGTATCATCACAAAGGAAGAATGGAGCTCGAGGTGCAACAAATCCCGTCAATGCTAATAGAATTACTTCCGGTTGGAACCTGTTATTGACGACATTTCGGAATAAATTATAGTTAATTTTACAAAACCTCAGTGATACCAGCAATTGTAGCAGTAGTGAGGAAGAGGAGAGGAAGGAAGACGTCGCAAAAGAAGATGATGGGAAATTAAGTGAAATGTTCATCAGCCGCTGTAAGTAATTCAATCTGCACTCATGTTTTTGTGTTTAGTAGCACAGATAAAGCTGTTCTACAGTCCACAGATCAGGCGAAAAGCCCTGGTAGGAATGCGATATACATGCATGCGCAAGATTTTGCGGTGAGTGACGAGCTGCTACTAGCCAACCAAAAAGCATTAGTTCCACAACCACTGAAGGAACAACAACAAAAGGCTTTCATAAGTTTTAATGAGTATATCTTTAAAATTACCTCACAGTGGCCGAGCGAGCTCGTAGTCAGAAAAGTCAGTTGCTTCTTCAGACTCAACATCTTCACAAAAAGTCTCTTCATTTTCGCTACTGTCATTTGGATTGGAAATAATTATTGAGTCTATCATGTCAGCAACAACCCCTTCCCATTCCCAGTATTGTTGCTCCAGTTCCACATGTTGGCAGTATCTTTCCCAATCTTTTGCAGTCACAGTTGCAATCCCTTCTGTTGTTAAATCCAGCAGCCGCTTCAAAGACAGATCCCCTGTCACGTTGTTCTCGCAAACGTAGGTTTTTACCTTAGACCATGCTACTTCTATTGAGCTAAGGTCACACATATATGGAGGCAACCTAATTACAATGTGACCATTGGCATTTAGTAACTGATCAATTTTGAAAAAAATTTTTTTTGGTATCCTTGTCAGTATTAGGTCATACAGTTGGCCTTTTCTCATAGCTGGATCACAGAAAACTCCATGCCGCTGTAACCATGAGATGATTTCAGATTTAACCGAATATTTTGATGGGGCTTTATCTGCTTGTACACTGTTATATGGAGCATTATCAAGTACTACCACTGAACTGGGGGGCAAATTCTGTAACATTTTCTCTCTAACCCACTTTTCAAAATTTGTACTGTTCATCTGACCATGGTAGTCGCCACTTGCCGATCCAGCTTTATATATCAGTCCTGCACCTTGAAGGAAACCAGCACGTGATCCAGCGTGAACCACAATCAGTCTTTTTCCAGCATTTCCATCAGAGCATACCCCTTTAACTTCTGTACTTTGCCAGCACTTTTGAAAGTGAAATTGCTGTCTACCCAGCTTTCATCTAGGTAGAATATTTGTCTTCCTTCATTGCCTCGGTAATTACCACACTCAGTCTTGCCCCCCTTCTTATGAATAGGAATAATTATGGATTCCTTCCATTGTTTGTGGCATCTCTTCCTTATCCCAAATTAACTGAATAAGCTTTATGGATCCTCATATGCAACCCTTTGTCACCTGCTTTAATTAATTCTGCTGGAATCTGCTCTATACCTGGAGATCTATAACTGTGTATCCACATGTATGTTATAAATCAGGTTGTGAAGGGTGATTTAGAAGGAAAGATACTTGCTTCAAATTGGTTGAAGAGTTTGCTTACTGCTTTTTAGAGCTTCAGTTAAACACATACAGTTTTACATTGAATTTTTTTGAGAAACTAAATGTTATTTTTCTTTCATTACAGGTATGAAATTTTCTTTACCCACTAAAGGTACAATTTGGCTGCACGCGACAGAGACAAGCGACCGAGGCAGGCGACAGAGACGGGAGACTGACACATCGCAGCTTGTCACCACACACTTTTGGGGTGACGACCGAGACATGCGGCAAAGTGTTTGTTTTCTTTGTTTTGTTGAGACATACGTGCACACTGAGCCCGTCGCGAGACACTACTGGTCCGAGAGCGGTCTCCTGTGCTTTGTCTCTGTCGCCTGTCTTTGTCTCGCGCTCGTAATTGTACTTCATACGATTGTATAGAGAGCAGACAGGAAGCGACCAGTCTCGGTCTCGTAACTCTGTCGCCTGCCTCGGTCGCTTGTCTCTGTCGCGTGCAGCCAAATTGTACCTTAAGAGACAAATGGGGAGTAACATTGAAGATCCAGTATTCAAAAGACGAGAAGTTCATATAGTGTGGCCAGTGATCCAGAAGCCACTGATGTATTTAAGGCCTTGTTCACATCCCATCAGAAAGCCCAGCAACAGGCTAAAGCACATTGGATTAATTACAATCCGTTTTATAACTGATATTGTTGTGACACATAATTTATGTTTTATGAAGCAAGAAATCTGATGAATAATCATTTGTGAGTTATGTGTGTTGTGAGATTATGGAACTGAAAGGTTTCCAGTATAGTAACATGTAGATAATAAACCATCAGGTTCTCAGTTATGTGCAATAATGTGTAAAACCTGGCTTGATTTTCATTTCCTTTCATAAAAATTTTTGGGCTTTATGGAGCTTATTGAATTGCAATTGAAAAATGAGGTTAATAACCTTGAATGTCAAAAGTACATTTTTACTTATTTCTCCATTCTGTTGGCAACTTCTTGCAGTAGCCTTCCTTAAAATGTCATTGACCTCATATTAAAACAGAGTTTGGATGGAGAAAATATGAATACAGTCTGATGATATTAAAATGGTTATGATATGGACATTTCTGTTATTAACACTTTTTGACACATCATGAGAGTTACCTTAGAAGAAAAAAAAGTATTGTCTTTCGTACTTGACTTTGTCCATAGTGTATTTTGAGTTCCTACACTTGTACCTGTTTTTTGATACAAGTAGTATATATTAACAGTGCTGATGAATTATTTTCCAACACTGTTCTCTTGGTATTGCATTTGTGATATATGTGGACATATTGTTGCAAGACACCTTTCTTCGATTCACAAGTTTTAGAATAAAAGTATGGGATGTTGCTCCCTTTTTGTTGATATTGGGTCTAACTTGTGGGGACAAAAGGGGACTGAGAGCCACTGTGTGGTGATTCAGATTGGTTGGCCTTTGCAGGCATTCTTAGGCTTGTGGACATTAAATAGGTGTCCAGGTAATTAAGTGAGCCATTTAATCTGTATTAGAAGGCATGCAACATATTTGACTGAGAGGTTTTGGCAGAGAGTATAAAATCACACTACTCTTCCCATCTGTGGAAAAGCACCCTTTGGAGTTTTAACCCTTGATTATGAAACATCAGGCCAGCTGAAATGATAATTTTCCACAAGAGATGTAGCAGATGGTACAATTTCAAAATACATGCACATATAAATCTATGAATACACTTATCAAAAAGTTCTTTTGTACTTGAAATTCATAACTGAAATCATTAAGGCCGACATTATAATATGAATGATTCATGAAATGGTGTCTACTGTATACATGAATCGTGTTTTCACCAGCAATGTACACTGAACTAACTTTGGCTGTAAAGTCACATTTATCAATTGAAAACAAATTGCATTTTCATATTTTGAACAGATACGTTTACATAACAATATTGAATGTGTGTTTCAATCGGTCTCATTATAATGCTAAAAAATGTCTTATTTCTAACAACAATATTCTGTGAGCATTAAAGCATGTTGATACAAGTACTTGGCAACTTGCTTATTGGATTTTTTTAAGTTGAAGCAGATAAAATACTTGGTTGTGAAGCCTTGACTTTCCATCCTCATTTATAAAATTCAGTTACTAGAAATCTATAAGACACATTTAATTAACTACATTATTCTAACATATTCCATGAACTGAAATGGAATTCTCTTGTTTTGTACTTACCGAATACAGACAGTCTTTAACACTGTTTCGCTTCATCTAAATGCCAGTTTCACACATCACTTGGAAAGTTTCATTATAATGCTCATGGCGTACTTTTTTCTGAATATATAACTAGCAACAGTTCTGTAACACTTTAAGTACATGTAAAATTCTTGTCATTTGGCTTTTGCAGCTAGAGTTTGATAAACTACAGTTTTCAGGTACAAGCAGCATTGAATGTTAAACATTTGCTAGTAATTTGGCAAACACTGCAGTTGCCATATTCATGGTGAATGTTTTTAGTAGGCAGGAGATAGAGGGAGGATTGGGATGCACCTATAAAGATATGGTAGTGAGAGGTGATGAACATTTTTAGGTAAGAACAAAAGTTGGATTCTAACCAGTGTGAATTGACCACATGATTCAGGAAAAGAGGTGATGTTCATGCAAATGTTTCCATCACTTCTTACCCAGTTACATCAGTCATCCCCAACACACCTCTTACAACCATTTCATTATAAGGGTTTCTTAACAGCCCCCTTTCCTGCAGACATTTATCTTGAAGATGGCAAGTGCAGTGTTTACCAGAATGTTGGAAACCTTCAACAGTTGGTGTGACTTGTTCCAAAAATAAAGAGTTACAACTGCGAAATGTTTATAGCCTTGGAGAAATTCTGGTCCTACACAGTCCATGGGAATTTGTGTGTGTGATATTTGTTTATTTATTTTGTACTTCTGCATAATAAAATAAATATCCAAGTAATTGTGTGTATAGTACAGAATTGAATTTACAAGTGTCACTACATTATTTATTACTGCTTTGAGTAAATTTAAGTTATAAAGGAGACACATCTCTTGCTGACTGGACTTCTGGAAAATTAAACCACAATTCACTTATACATTAACAAGGTACCACCTTACTGTATACAAACCAAACAGTAGAATACCGCATCTTTGCTTCTTTCTCAGTCTGGCTTGTTTTTATTGCATGACAACCATCTATCCAATCTTTCTATACAGCTTTATGATGCTTCATTTTATGCTGTTTCACATTAACGCCCTTTTAAAATAATGACAAAATAAAAGAAAACATAAGAAAAAAAAAATTGAAAGCGTAAACACAGCACAGGAAGTGGGTATCTAGGTGGCTTTAGTGTCGGGATCAGTTGCTTTCTCCTTGTCCGCCAGTACAATACATTATAATTCTTCCTTGATTTACGCCACTTCAGCCAACGACCCTGAGGAGGCAGAACGTAACCCCGGCGTAAATCAGGGCCTACCTGTATATGAGTAGAGTAGAGTAGAGTTTATTTACATTCCATAGATCCTTCTTAGGACTCAACCAAAGGATGTAGAACATGTCATTTCATACAATATACATACACTTCAGAACTTTCAACACACGTACAAGAACGTATTTCATTTCATTACGACTGTTCTCATGGCAAAGCATGCAGAGCTTAATTTGGGGACAACATACTCGATGTGTTTTTTCCAATTTAAGGTATTGTCGACTTGTAAGCCAAGGAATTTGTTTGTTTCAACTTCCACAATTAATTTTTCTTCAAAACCTATATTTAACCTAGGATATGTCTTGTGCTTAGTAACA